AGGCCCCCGCCCCCCCCCCCCCCCCCCAAGGGGGTCCCCCCCCCGCTATGCGCCGGTGTGCTTCGGTCTCATTTCCCCCCCCCCCCCCCCCCTGGGGTAAAAAACCCCCCCAACCCCCCCCCCCCCCCCCCCCCAGGCACACCGACTGGATCTCCTGCTGCGCTCTCGTTCCCTCCGCGACCGCCGGCGTCGCCCCCTCGGTCGCGGTGTCCGGCGGGCGGGACGCGTCCGTTCGCTTCTGGCACAAGTCCGACGCCGCCGCCGCGGAGGCCGCCGCCGCCCGAGCGGCATCGGACGCCCTGGCCAAGGAGTCCGCCCAGGGCAAGAGGAAGTCGTCGCTCCGGGCGGCGTTCGCGAGCGGTAGCCGTAGCTCCAGCGGTAGAGATCTGGGAAGCGGGGGCGGCGGGGGCGGTGGTATTGTGCCGCCGGGCGATGGCGGGTGGTCGCTGGCTTCCTCCGTGGCCACGGCGCACGGGTCATCCGAGTTCGTCACGTGCTGTGCTTCCCCCGGTGGGTCCTCGGGAGCGGCCGGGGGCTGGGTGGCGACCGGGGGCACCGATTGGTCGGTGAGTAGGAGGCCTACTGCGTTTGGGCGTCGCCTACATGAGTTGAGCGATGTGCAGTTGATGGGGGTTTGATCCATCCGTTGGACACGTTTGTGGCTACGTTTTGGGTTTGCTTCAGAGCTCGACGTCGTCTCCGAACACAATCAGCTTTCGCTGCAGTGCTTTCGTGATAATGGTGTCATGCGTTTCCGACAAAGTTGACACTAGTGCTGTAATTTTCTTCCTTGTGTTTACGCCAAACCTTGGCGCTTGAGAATGTTCTCCACTGAAGCTAGTGTACGGTATCATCGTCATCGAAGAAGTGCCTACAAAAAAGCGCCCGTGATTACCCCCCTCTGTACGCAGGTTCGACTGTGGGACGTGGTAAAGTTCCGTGAGTTGGGCAGACTGTCCTTCATGGGCCACAGCCACCCGGTTCGTTCGCTGGCGTGCTCCTCTGACGGGAAGCTTCTCGTCAGCGGGGGCGACGACCACAAGGTATGCTCCTTCCGCCTGTCTGGCATTTATTCTGTTGCATCCTCGGATACATTTTTGGCATTTAGCGTCTCGGCCCCGTACTCTATAGAGCCATCTCATGGCGTGCATCGCGAACAATACGTATCTATGGTCGTGAGATTGGAACGCCAAAACAAATCATGGTGATTCCTTATTAAAGTAGGAGGTTCTAGGATTTATGCGCCAAGTGACCGCCTCGTCGTCATGGACGGTCCCCAGGGAAACAGACTGGCCCTCAATGGCAACTCGTTGGACCCCTCAGGTCACGGCGACTCGCACTTGGTGCAGCATATGCCGACCCGTTGAAAATCCCGATAATTTTGGTCGATTCCGGCTTTCAAAGGGGTCCACGTACTCCGCACGAAGCAAATGAGCACCCGCCCCCACCCCCCGGCCGGCCTCCCCGACGACCCAGGTCATCGTCTGGTCGCCTCAGAGCCGGAGACCCCTCGCCACGCTCAAGAGCCACGCCAGCGCCGTTCACGGCGTCGCCGTGGACCCGGGGACGCACTCCGGCGACGCCCCCCGCTGGATAGCCTCGGGCGGCGGCGAGGGCTTCCTCCTTGTGTGGGACCCCCGTAACTTCGGCTCCCCGGTCGCGATCCTCCGCGGAGAGGTGACCGCCGCCGACCCGTCCTCCTTGTCGGAGGCGTTCTCCTCCGGCATGTCCGTCGCCGAGCGGGAAGGAGGCCTGCAGGGAGGGCTTGCCGGGGCGAGGTCGAGGGGGGAGAGCGGCCGGTGGGAGGGGGAGACCACGGGCGCCACGATGCTGAACGCCGTGAACTGCCTCGCCGCCGGCGGCGCCGGGAGCGGCGGGGACTGGCTGTTCGCCGCCGGGGAGACGGTCGTCCGGTCTTGGCGCCGGAGGGACGGGGTCTGGCACGGCGGGGCCGGGCTCCCCGGCGAGGGGCTGGGGGGAATCGCGAGCCTGTCGGTGATCGAGTAAAGTTTCTCATGGTACAGGTGAAGGGCGGACGTTGCTCGCCTCTCGGCGGTCGAGGAATTTTCATGGTACGGAAGGATCAGGAGGGCGGGCGTTGCGGAATGATGGATGTCACCGCGAGCTCCGCGCGGGTGCGGTGTGGTTGGGGCGGGGAGTGGTGTCGCTGCGGCAATGGGGAGTTAAGTGGGTCTTCGTGAACGGCTTTGGGGCCGTGACCATCGTGATTTTTTTTGTGGGAATGTATACATTTGTGTCTCGGTGATGTTTTGAGCACATGACGCACGCATGGGTGTGTAGGCCTCCCCTTGTATGGACGCAGCGTGGATGCCGGCCGTCATAATACCTCGGGATGAAACAGGACGAAAACACACCCCAGACGCAAGTCCGTACGTACCTTGGGGAGGCGCGTTTTTTTCTCGCGAGAGTAGCTGACGTTCAATCTGTGTAAGAGCAAAACCGTAGGCGGCGGGCATTGGGTAGCTCGGCTGTTGTAGAGCAAGACAATACAGACGCCCAAACAAAAAAGTACATGTTACAAGGCTCCCCCTCGGGAGTTTGATGATTTGCATCCCGGGGGCGACGCAAGAGGACATGGCCAAAACACCGACGACAAAGGCCGAGGGCTGCAAGGCGACAGGACGATTTGAGTCCGAATGGCTGAGTCGGTCGGGCTGTCGGCGTCATGGGTTGTTTTATCATCTTTTACGTGGTTCGGCGTTGCCGCGGGAGGAATTCGAGCCGTCCTGACGAGCTCCATAGCACCCGCCTCTCTCCTTGATCAGGAACATACGCGTACGTGCCAAAGAACATGGGCAAGGCACTACCTTGTCCACCCTTATCTAGCCCACAGGTTTTCTCCGCACGCCTGCCGATGCTGGCTCGTGAAGTGGGCTGGCCGCTTCGCTCATTCAGAGCAACTCCCTGCATGGCCAACATCTACGCCAACGACACAAAAACCTCTCGACATAGGCGTGTTCCACCAACAACCACGTCTCCTCGTGCCCGTGCCGGTTCCTGCACAAAAACAGCCCGTCTCCTTCACGTCTCGTCGTCCCCGGAATCGTCGTCGAACGCCGACAACATCTCGATCATTGCGTCGCCCCCCTCTTCCCCAACAAACTCTTCCACCGCCTCCTCCTCCTTCGCTCCACCCCCGCCCTGCGCACTGCCGCCCTTCTTCTCGACAGCCGCGCCGCCACCGTTCTCCACCACAAGCTTGTCGCGTAGGAATGCCGTCCTGTCGGCTGTGGACCCCGGGGATGCGGTAGACGGGGGCATCACTTCAATCTCCGAGGAAGGCTCTGTCGTTGCAGGGTCCTCTCCCGCCGACCCTGCCGCCTACGACCAAGACAACGTCGTCGCAAAAAAAAAAAAAACATTTCACATGCACGGGATTGTTGAGAGGCATACAGCGACATAAAATTGATAAATTGATAGGTCGGTCGGGCATCGGAACCCATCAAACTTTCGATCATCTCCGAATCCATCACCGTTCCGATTAGTTAGGTCTTGTCTGCCGGCATGTTCTCCATCCATCGACTCGGCGATTCAGCAACAACCGTCGACTTGTATGGGTCCCGAGTGCAAAAAAAAAAAAAAAGGGTCTCGAGTGCGTTGCGTTTTGTGAAAAACAAGCTCTCATGAAAACACGTGAGGGAGGTAAACAGAACGCGCTACCACCTAGGAACTTCGCAGTATAATAGTTTATAACTTGAGCCTAAAAAACAAATCCAAAATCATGGCCGCCCTTCGGAACAGGTGCTTCGTCAAGAAGCCGACACTAGAACCTATATAGTCTGTTGTTGTACCCCATAGACAAAAAAAAAAAACGAGCCTCGGCCGAAACAAGAGGTTCTGAAAGGGGTGGTGCGTGATGTATACCGTCTGCGCAAATTGTGGTACCTCCTTGCCCTCGCTGTCTGCGAGGCTCTTGAGGTAGTCGATGCGGCCCTGCTTGTCTTGCTCGTCCCGCTGAAGAAAGTTGACGAGGTTGTAGCACACCTACGCGGCGTTCGGCCATCGCGCGAGATGGTGGTGGGGGGGGATTAAAAGCGATAAACCCCGCTAGACAAGGCTGCAAGGTCTCAAAACCGGTGAGCAAAAATCGAGCTTATCCCTCAAACTGGGGCGGAAACAAGGTCACCACATCCAAAACGACAAACACACGAAATAGGCACGCAAACAGGAGGGAGCGTCAGCAAGACGTCTGACAGTAGTGACAACGATGATTTTTTCGTGGTGGCTCATTTTGCCTCCGCCGCAAGCAACTCCATGGTTTTCAAGCGAACTAAGGCAAGGCGGACAAAACGATGGTGCAGGGTTGAAGCCTTCACACGAACACCCCTTGTCCAAATGACCACACGAAAAAAACAGCGTGATCGATATTAGGCAATAGCCGTGTGTGTGTCCTTTCTGCCCTCCTCCGGGTCGGAATTTGCCCTGCACAAACGAACTTCGCGGCTGCTCCGTCACCTGCGATATCTCCGCGTCGGGCTCCGACTTGTCCATCTCCCGAATCACGAAATAGACCCCGCATTTTCGCAGCGACTGCCGGGACTCTAGTATGGCGCACAGCTGCAACAGGTTCGGGTGGTCGCAAAAAGAAAAATACAAGGGCAGCACGGTCAAGGAGAAGGGCAATCCCCAACGGAGGAGGCGATGCCACTCGAAAACACAAATGACCAAAGCGAGTCCTTCATAGCTGGGTCGAGATCTACATACAGCATGGCTTGTTCGTCGTTTCGGGGGCTGGCCTAAAGGGCATGAGCCCCTTGCCGCCACAAGAGTCAAGCGGCTAAGGGCGTCCGCGTGCAGCCAAGGTCAGGGGGTAGAACGAGGGCAGGGCGCACGGACCGGGGGGGTCATCGCTCGAGCAGACGACAGTAGAAAAGTGACGGTCAAACATCGCCAAGACCTTCAACCCCACCCCATGGTGGACGCGTTGTTCCAGCTCGTTTCACGACAGAGGCACAACGGAGCGAGCCTTGGGGGGGAAACGAGCGGATCGTAAGTGAGGGAAAGCCTTCGTTTACCTGAAGCAGGGCTTCGACAATATCCCGCTTGATGCACTGAACGGGCTCTCGTCTTCTCGGCGCTGCGGGGGAATCTTCATAAGAACCTTCTTCTTTTTCTTTCCTCCACACTCGGGGGTCGAGGATGACCTGACACAATACGACGACAGTAAAATGATGGAAAATACTAGACCAGAGGGTTGTGAAGACAAGTTAAAAGGCAGGCAGAGGGGGATTAACGTTCGGGGTATGAGGGAGAGAGAGAGAGAGAGAGAGAGAGAGATAAAAGAGACAGAGAGGTACACACCCGAGAGAGAGGGAGGCAGAATAGAGAGAAGGAGAAAGAGAGAGTAGAGAGACAGAGACAGAGACAGACAGACAGCAGAGACGGCTACGTCCCTTTGAGCCGCAGAATGGTACACGATATATCGGCTCCTCCTCCTAACCTTTTCTTCGAAGTCGTACTCGTCCTTGTCGTCGGCGAGCCTCATGAGCAGATGCGGCACAACCTTCACCTCGTGCAGCAGCCACGGGTGGTCCAGCTCCTCGAAGCAGCAGTTTCGGACACACCCGGCGACGCCCCATCTTCGCACCTGAGATGCATCCGTGCACGTAACGGCTTCACACGTTGAGGCGACACAGCACGGCCTCATAGGCTGTCCGATGGAAGCAACCCGCTCGACACAGCAGGAGGACGGTGCTTGGAGATGACTGCTGTAGACTTGGTGGTGGTGGTGGTGGTAAAATGAGTTTCCATGCGAAACTGGTGGGACGAGGTCCGGTCCGCAAAAACGAATGCAGCAAACACAGCGCGAAACGATCGACGGCATGTATACAACACACCACCACTGCAAACACTGCCAGCGGCAACAGCAACAGCACTCGCACCGACGACCACGAAGACCACCACGAACAAACAACACGCTCACGGTTAGAACGAAACATGCAACAGCGCATAGCGCCTCTTGAATAAGGCTTTTTATCCACGTGCACGCAAAAAAGACGGCGGGCGTACAAAGTTGATCGTATGCACCAGGTGATGATGGTTTCGCCGTGTGTACCCTCTCTCTGACGACGCGCTGCAGCCACGCCGGTCACCACCGAACCAACTACTGCTGACACAGGCCGGAAGCGTTATGCCCTTGTTTCACTCACGGGATTGGCGGAAGCTAGCTGCGGCAGAACCTCCGTCAGCGCCACGAGTGGATCCGGTCGCCTCAAGGCTCGTCTATCAAGGAAGAGTAAAATCAACATAAGGAAGGGGAAGGGGGGTGATGGGGGTGGGGGTCCCTTGTCAGCGACGGATCCACGGGCCTCCCAGCAGTAAACATGCGCTATCAACCTGCATAGGAAGACTGGACAATTTCACATTCTATGCTCGCCAAGGCTGCTCTTTGTGGCTAAGCTTCGCGGGTACAGTCGTCCGCCGTAGTCTAGCGGGTGTAGTATAACACTCCAGAACCGCACAATTTCCTGGCGAGATTGTTAAACATAACACTTCCTCCGACATGTTATCCAGGTCGAGCACGGACATGTTGGGGGGAATCTCGGCCTCGTCCAGGGAAGAAAAAAAAGAAAAAAAGCGCGATGCGAGCGCGGCAGGCTCAGGAGCAAGTCCTACAAAGACGAGCGCAAGTGCCATGTAGCAATAACGAGAGAAAATATGGACGCTTCGCGAGATGCGCAACTGCACGTACCATTCACAACGCCACATTTTTCGCTGGGCTAGCGCTGGCTGCAAAAACTGCCCCAAACTCTCTCTCTTTCTCTCTCCCTCCCTCCTCTCCATTCGGACAAAAAGTTGCTAGACGCCACACAAACAAGGGCGAGTGTCAATCTCGCATGCCAGCTGAACAACTACACAGCCGCACCCACCATACGGGTAGAACTTGCGTTGGACATCAACGAGTGTCACCGAAGACTCGTTCCTCAACCCTGGGAATCGAGGCAGATTATCACCCCAGGAACCAAGGCAGTAATATAACCGAGGTA